TACTTATATAATTAAAATTCTAGATATATTTATGATGCTTAATACCTATATAATAACAATAATTTTTTAAAATAAAAATAATAAAATATAAAAATAAAAATAAAAGAAATTACACATTCAGCTTATAAATAATAAACCATAAACTAAACACATATCACCTACGCCCCAACAACTTTTTCCCTTTTCAACACTCTTAGGCAAGTGAGTATATATAACTTTAAAATTTTATTTTTTAAAATTTTTTTAAACTTTTCTATTAGTAATTTTTAAAACTATAATATTTATTTATTATATAAATAAATTTTTAACTTCAAACTTTAAATTTTATATAATAAGAATAATATATCAAAAGTATGGATATCATAATATTAAAATAAATATAATACTATCCACCATTATTCTTTTATAATAAATCGAAATAAAGGATTGAAAAGATTATAAACCCAAAAATCTAGACAAAGGATTAGGGGATTATAAACCTAAAACTTGGACATATTTTTCGAAAGACTTTTATTCTATTGCTTAATTTTATTTTATTTTATTTTTTTGGATATATAATTTTCATTCTTTATTATTAATTATTTAATTGAGTTTAATTTTTAATTGTATATAGATTTGAGTTCTAGATATGAAACCAAATTAAAGTTCTTTATTGTTATTTTATATTATATTTAAGTTTAGATTATAATAAATAATAATTTATTAAATTTTTATTAATTTTTTTTAAGTTTAGATTGAAAGTAAATAATATTTTATTAAATTTTAATTAAAAAAATTTTAAAACAAAATATCATTTAACAAATACATAAATATATATTCCAAAGTTATATTATACTTTATTAAATTAAACACTAAGTATAAATTTTCAAATATTTAAATAACACCTAATCTAAAATGTCATATCTAAAATTTTTTAAATTAAATACTAAATATTACTCACCAATAACTTAAGTTACTCGATGATTATTTTTTTATTAAAAATAAAAAACCTTAAAATTAACTTACATGGTATACAAATAACATAAAATAAAATATAAAAAGTAATTAGACTCTCATCGTGCAATTAAAATAAATAAATATATATATATTGCTCATTGCTGCCCGCAAATGCTCTCCCCTAAATACAATACAGTACAATCCGAGTCACAGTTGATAACAAACATGGATCCACGCGGTCCAGCCAATAGCATTGCAGAAAATGGGGCGGCGAGACACGTGGCGAAAATCAATTGGATGATGGTGTAGCTACTCCAGTCCTGGTATAAGAAATGCTTCTTCAGTGTTAAGAGTATTGACACAGGACGCAAACAGGAGGAGATGGCGATGTCGAGATCGATGAGGCTGCTTTCTCTCGCACTTTTGGGCACTCTGCTCCTTCTTGTTGGATCCGCGACTCTCTCTCAGGTGCACGACTGCTCCTTGATTCCTTTTTCCTTTTTGGGTTTTGTCTATGTATTTATATTGTACTGTTGATTTGGTTTTTTTTTTTTTTTTGAAAATTTTGATAAAACTTATAGTTTACTTAGATCTTGCGAATTCCTTAACATTTATGGGTTTTTGATTTCCATTTCATTTCCTTTGTTTTTTTTTTTTTAATCTTAGTACTGTTCCTAATCGGGATTAGCTTTTTAGATTGATTTGAGATAATGAGATGACAATTTTGTAAAACAAAAAAAAAAAGGAAGTAGGATATGAATTAACCAGAAAGGATGATTGTTGGGTGAAAAACTGATTATTAATCATGGAATGTGTTGCTTCTCAGGCAAAAGTGCCCAAGAAAGACTTGCAGGAAGTGACCCACAAAGTTTATTTTGATGTTGAAATTGCTGGAAAACCTGCTGGTATGCTCTTCTTCTATACCATAATATAACCCTTTTATTTTATATATAATAATGCATATTATAGAGACTATTT